TATATATATACTACTATATATATATATATATATATATATATATATATATATATATATATATATATATATATATATATATATATATATATATATATATATATATATATAAATACGTTCTCGACTGCAATGGTATGGTTCTGATAAAGATACTCATTTTTGTGTACAGATATGTGTAGTTGTCGAGTTTGGTGCTCCCATCGGCTAATACAGGGCACAAGGGAATCAATTGCACTATTTGTATAAAGTAGTCATACGCATTAACAAGGTCAATGATAAATATCCTCGGGAAAGGTAGTGCACACGACAACCTTGACTCTGAAACTAATACCTCCGGATAAATGTTCATAGAGCTTGATACTCAACTACACGTTTAAATGACAATTGTTGAGAGTCGATTCAGTATTGGCAGTATCCGCAAGGATTCCCAGGATGCGCAGCATCGTGTAAAGAGGGTTAAATTGAAACGTACTTTACAATAGTGATGATCCATTTAACCAATAACTGCACAGAATACTCAGTACAAGTTTGCTGTTCAGTCCTATTTATTGATTGGGACATCGTTACCTCTGAGTTCATATCGTAAATGTTGTCCATCATATCCGCTCTTCGCGGAGATATCGATTGCTAAACAAACTTCTGAAGCACTGCTATACTTCCCGTACGCAGTAGTACGTGATAGTACGTAATATATATATATGTATATATTCGTGCTCAACATGCACTAATACACTGGCTATCGGGACTACTGCTTTGACTACCGCCCCAGTGCGAAACTTCGGGGAACATCGCATCTAAGTTTTCCAAATACTTCCTCGCCTCGATATCATCTCGATCAAAATTGGCGACCATCTCATCAAGTCCAATGGGAAGCCCTGCACACGAGCCCTCAAGGCCCTGTCCCCGTGTGTCCTCTTCCATTGCCCCGGCCCCAATTTCTGGTGCAGGTGCCATGGGCTGTGTCAGTGTGTCCGCTTCCACTCCGAACAAACCATCCGGGAGTATACTACTATCCTCAGCTGTCAGTAAGGCTTCAGGAAACATGGCATCGAGGCTGCCCAAGTACTTCTTCGCCTCGGCGTTGTCTCGGCTGAACTCAGCCATAGCTGCATCCAGGCTGTGGTGTGTGTATTGTACTTGCGGTGCCTGTTCCGCCACATCCCCCTCGAGGGCTTGTGTCTCTGCATAGGGTTCGTTCACACGTGTCTGTTCAGTGGTATCTTGGTCGACGTAGTCATCATACGCGCGCTGTTTGGCAGTCGTCACCAGCTGCGTCAGAGAACGCGTGAGCTCATCCGCCGCGCGTGACAGCGCTGTAGGCGGGGCGGATTTAGTACCGAACTTTGTACCTGTACTACTACTCGTACGTCGTTGGTCCTGTGTCCGTGTGTCCGTGTGCATCTGTGTACGTACACCTCCGCCTCCATCCCTTCCCCCAGAGCTTCGAGTTAATTCCGTATACACCCTGGCCAGTCCCTCACTCATCGCCGCACTGAACACACCCGCTAATACTTCAGTCATATCTACCTGCTGAGGTCCATATGCGCGTGTCTCTCCACTGGCCGCTACTGTGAGCGATGATACATGCCTCTGCAGTGTGCATGCGAGCACGGTGTGTGCAGGGCTTTGCCTCGGCTGCATTGCGTACTGACCTAAACAGTCCAGTAGGGCGTCATAGCCACACCGGTCCTGTCCGTCATCTGCAGGTGCAGGGCCGCACCGGCCCTGCTTGACCTCGGGTAGACGCATGCTGTGAAGGGCTGTTTCGCAGGCCTTTCTATCCAGGCGTGTGCGCAGGTGGCACTCGGAGTCTGTACATACACCTGCTAAGGTGTGTGTGTTGGTAGTGGTGCGGTTGCGTTTGCTTCTGGTCTGCGGACAGACAGCGGAGGTGTGTACGGCAGCGGCGACATCGATGCCGTCTATGGCATTGTTGTACAGTGCAACAGCCTGTTTGTGGGGAGGCAACAATGGCGATAGGCTTAGGTCTTGACCCGCGGTTTGTGATTGAGGCGCGATAAAGTGGACCAATTGAGGATGGACTGTAACTAGTGCAAAAGAAATGGATGGCGAGCGAGAACAGTATAGGTTGAGCTAACTAACAGCTATTTGCGAACGATGTGGGGTGAAGTGGACTAAAAAAGAAGGCACTCAGGCTAGTGTCTGTTGTAAGGAAGGTATGATGGTATATGCTGAGCCTACGACTATTTGCAAAGTGGGCTAAACAAGAACGCCCACAGACTAGTGCAGTAGAGATACAATCTCGGCTCCAGAACTGGCCAACCATCTTTGAACGGGTGACAAATACACCTGAGCACATACACCTTACAACTTGCCATCCGGAAAGGCATATCTCCCGTGTGTGCCCAGCGCCCCAATGCCCTAATAAAAGTAGCGTACCTGAGCCAACAGATCGACCAGCGTATCATACGGCATGCGGTACGCACCGGCCCCTTTGAGATTGGACAGGACAGTCCTTAAAGGTCTGCTTGAGACAGACAGTAGAGTAGTGTGGGTGAGTGCGAAAGCAACTGCTGCAGTACACAGACCGCAAGGTACACGCAGTGGGATGCCGAGACAGGCTCCGTGTGAATGTTGGGTTCTAGGGTTTTTATGAAGAATCTTCTACATGAGGCAAATCAGAAATGAGCACCTTGATGATAAAATAGTCACTGAATGTTATCCATGGACAAGGGGATGGAGCGCTTTACACGCACATTTTGATGTAGGTAGGTAGCTAAGATCAAGACAGGTGCTGGGAAAGTAAGTCGCAAATGTTAGCTTGAGTAATGTTTGTTTCATGGAGTCGAAATCCCACTTGTTCAAATGAGCTTGTTATTATTAGTTACTAACACATATCACCACGCACACAGACTAGACTAAGCAACTCAGCCATTGGGGGATTCAAATACCGCACTGCAAAGTGCTCCTACATAGATACCCGATAAGTATACATATACAACATACATATACAACATACATACACAACATGTATATACAACATACATATACAACATACATATACAACATACATATACAATATACATATACAACATACATATACAACATACATATACAACACACATACACAACATAAATATACAACATACATATACAACATACATTTACAACATACATATACAACATACATATACAACATGCATATAAAACATGCATTTACAACATACATACACAACACACATACACAACATACATACACAACACATATACACAACATACATATACAACATACATACACAGCATACATATACAACATACATATACAACATACATATACTAAATACATATACAGCACACATATACAACATACATATACAGCACACATACACAACATACATATACAACATACATATACAACATACATATACAACACACATACACAACATACATATACAACATACATATACAACATACATATACAACATACATATACAACATACATGTACAACATACATATACAACATACATATACAACATACATATACAACATACATATACAACATACATATACAGCATACATATACAACATACAACCCCTACCAACAGCGCAAAGGGGTCTTGCAGCCTCTCACGAAACAGCTACTCACAGATCAACATCGAACCTATACCCTCCGCGTTTACATCAACTGTACACACAATACTCGCCACATACTGGTGCTAGCACACACACCAAACCATCCAGCACACACACACACGCGCTCTTCTTACCGCACAAAGTGGTCTTGCAGTGTCTCGCGCACCAGCAACGACACAGCCCACGCCGCATCACACTGTGCACGGCCCATCGCATCCTCTAACGCACACACGGCCATTTGCTTCCGCTTCTCCCGTGTCGTAAGTTCGGTACTCAAAATGCCGCGAGCGGCCGATGGAGTGGAACTCACAGTGCTGCGACGCCGTCTGCGTGCGCATTGTGGCATTCGTCTGGTCTTTTGCCGCAAGAGATGTTGGCTGTGTGTGTACTGTGGGTGTTCTGAGGGAGTCTGATGTCTTCGGCGCGGAGCTGATACCAGCTCCGAGGAGTATGTACTGGGGTTCGCTTGGGTTATTGGTAGACGTCGTCTGCCTGCATAGGCCTGCTCCAGTTGTCCGTGGTGCACGCGTGCGATGTGGCGCTTTTGCAGCACACTATCGAGACTCCTGCGGTGTTCAGGAACAGTACCAGTGTGAGGAGAAGAGGTTTATTACTAACAACCGAGTGTGCACGCTCCAAAAAAAATGCCCCTAAACTATAACAAAGCATGGAAAAAAGGACAAGAATATAAAAACTGAAGCGTATAACATGTCAGGCGTTGTAAGAGGTGCAGACGATGCTTGCAAGTGGCAAATAATAGATATGAACCAGAGTTTTAGGGTTTTAGGGTTTTAGGGTTGTAGCCACGCTGAACTACATACGCTATAGATCGCTCCCAGCGACGTCGTTCCTCGACCTTTCCTTTCCATATCCCAACCACTCTGCGCAGACTGAGAAGAGCAGTGCAGCATATGAGTTATTAGTCACCAGAAAGAAGGGCGATGCAATACGATAGTAAGACACAGCAACGATATACGCGTACAAGGCAACCACGCGTGTGTGTTGTGTGGTTCGTCTGTGATGCAGTGGAGTGGGTCTGCGAACTGTTTGGGCTAGCACTAACCAGTGGAGAAGGCGATGTACCACGGCAGAACACGCGCAATAGTACTTGATACCAGGCGAAAGTCTGGACAACCATACACCCCCACGGCAGCTTTAACTGTCGATGTGTACGCAATGATATACAGGACCATGCCAACCATATGTATGTATTACACAACCTACAGTCTCCTAAGGAAGTGCCTGTATGCAAGCTTCTATACATACACCACCTACAGTCCCCTAAGAACGTGCCTGTATGGAAGCTTCTATACATACACCACCTACAGTCCCCTAAAGAAGTACCTGTATGCAAACTTCTATACCTAAAGTCCCCAAAAGAAGTACCTGTATGCAAGCTTCTATACCTAAAGTCCCCTAAAGAAGTACCTGTATGCAAGCTTCTATACCTAAAGTCCCCTAAAGAAGTACCTGTATGCAAGCTGCGTGGCGACTTACGTTTCGTCCCGTTTGTGGCGAGCGATGCCTTCGGCGATGAGACGTGTGCCGATGTCACGCACGAGTGTGACGGACTCCAAGTCGATAAACGTGTGGGCCATATCAGTGGACACCTTGATGGTACTGATCATCTCTTGGTACACTTTGCCGGCAATCTATAAATAGATATGGGGGTGAGTTTGTAGTTGACGATGTAGGTATATGGGGTATATAATCGCCGTGAACCGTTAGATAGGGAATGTTTCGCAGAAGAGTAAGAGAACTACCTACAATGCACTTGGACATGCACACACTACTCGGATGGTACAGGGTCGCATTGTCTGTTGTGTACTACAGGGGAGTATACATCAGCCTCAACAAAAGCAGCTACCTTGTGCACAAACAGAAAGGTCACCCAGACTTCAAGCGTGCAATTGCGCGTAATCATCTCTCACGGAATGTATGTCGCACTCCTAAATNTA